ATTTTTTCATTCATTCACTGACTGAATGTGTCCAGTTTATGAAATAATGGGTTGAATGGGAGGGATTGCCTAATTGCAGGGCTGCCATTTCTATCCTATAACATTCACTGAGTGGTCCGCAGTAACCCTCTGCAAGCATTCCAGAATGAGGTCAACAATCCATCCAATAATAATCACTGTGCGCTGTCATGTTGTGGATGTTCTACTAGCATGTATCTTATCTACTAGTGTGTTCTACTAGTATGTGTATACAGTATTTTTATATATATATATATATATATATATATATACTACCGTTCAAAAGTTTGGGGTCAGTGAGAATTTTATTTTTATTTTTTGGAGGAAAGAAATCAATACTTTTATTTATCAAGGACAGTAAAGACATTTATAATGTTACAAAAGATTCTATTTCAAACTAATGCTGATCTTTTGAACTTCCTATTCATCAAAGAATCCAAAAAAAAAAAAAAACTGTACAACTGACAGACCAACAACTGTTTCAACATTGATAATAATAATAAATGTTTCTTGAGCATCAAATCCTCATATTATACTGATTTGTGAAGGATCATTTGACACTGAAGACACTGACACTGGTGATGCTGAAAATTCAGCTTTGATCACAGGAATAAATTACACTTTACTATATATTCACACAGAAAACAGCTGATTTACACTGGAATAATATTTAATACTATAACTGATTTTTTTTGTATTTTTAATCAAATAAGCGCAGCCATGGTTAGCAGAAGAGAATTCTTTTAAAAGTATTTAAAATCGTACCGACCCCAAACTTTTGAACAGTAGTGTATATATATACATTCATACTATTGCAATCAAAATTATTAAATCCCACAGAGATTGTAATAATTTACAAATGTATGCTTTTGTGTATGAGTTAAAAAATTGCATGTATAACAGTCTAGTGGCAAATTAAAAGTGATAATGTCAATATATAATGTAATACTTTTAAAACCCCTTTTCAATGATGCTGTATTTAAGTCGTGTATGGTACAAAATTGTGTTAAAACGCAATTAAGCCTTTGGGAACTCTAGAACAAAACTGAATTAGTTTGTGGTTGTTACACATATATTTGGCCCATGCATGTGCTAAACTTGAGTAATATGGCCAAGTCAAAAGAGACTAGCTCTCACAAAAGCTAGAATAGATTGTTTTATTACATTAGAAAGTCTATGGCTACAAGAAGATTTCCAAAAAAGAGACACAGCTGGCAGCCTTATTCAGACGTTTAAAATTTGTTGTACCAGAAAATCTTTGAGGGAGTAAAAAGCACAATATTATTAAGGGGAATAAAATATTTGATAAGAGCAACTGAGAAAAACCCTCAATTTACTGCCAAAGACTTGAAAGATGACCTGATGAATGGAGGAAAATACATTTCAATATAGAGTATAAACAATAGACATGCATGGCCTTCATGTTGGAACATCTTGCCGAATGCCACTCTTGACTAAGAACAAAAAGGCCAACTTGAATATGCTAAAATTCATTTGGATAGACCTGTGGAGTTCTGGAAGAATGCTTAATGGAGTGATATGACCAAACTGGAACTTTTTGGACCCATGGATCAGCATCTGGTGCAAAAAAAGGCAAAGCTTCTGAGCAGAAGAACACATCTTCATGGTCAAACATGGAGGTGGTCCAGTCTTTTTATGGGGGTGCTTTGCTGTTGCAGGAAGTGGAGATCTTGAGTGTATGAAGGACATCATGAATTCATTGAAGTATCAAGCCATTTTGGCAAAGATGGTGATGCCTTTGGTGCAGAGACTGAAGCCTGATGTTTGATGGACTTTCCTGTGGGACAGCCATCCCAAAGTATTCATCCAAATCTACTTAAGCTTAGTTCAGGGATCAGAATGTTCTTGTATGGCCTGTAAAGTCTTCAGATTTAAATCTCATTGAAAATATTTGGTGGACTTTGAAGAAAGCAGTGTTAACGTAAACACCAAAGATTATCAGTGATCTGGAAGCTTTTTTAATCGGCCAAGATTGCAGTAGAGATGTTTCAGGTTATAAAGAATAAAAAAATCTGCACAAATTGTACTTTTAGGGGTTGAATAATTTGTACATGAATGTTTAGTCAATTCGATTTTTTACATTTTTTATCAACTTCATGTTCTCAGAATCACTCAAATGTGTATTAATAAACTTTCTATAATAGTGTACTGATGCCTCATAATTTTGTTCTCGGGGCTTGAATAATTTTGATTGCAACTGTATAGCCTATACATATATATACAGTTATGTATATACAGTTGCAATCAAAATTATTCAACCCCTGAGAACAAAATTTTAAATATATATATATATATATATATACACACACACATTTTTAATTTGAAAGTATTTAAAAACACACAGTATAATTCAATTTATATATTGAATCATATGTATGTTTTTAAAGGATTTCATGTTAAAAATGAATATGAGTGCAATTATTTAAAAATAATTCATTTACATATATAAATCAGAAAATATGGAAAATACAAATGATATATATATAATTTGTATTTTACATATTTTGTGATTTATATATATATATATAAATGAATTGTGTAAATATATATAGGCCTATATATATATATATATATATATATATATATATATATACTATTTTCAAATAATCAGTAACAGTGTAGAATTGTTAAACTGTAATTCACACTCCAGCACAGGTGTCCACCTGAACCCCATGTTGAATCACACAAAACAGCCACAATTAGCCACTGTGACATCTCAAATGAGCGTGTAAAACGGATTCCGACAGATGGGACACTTGATTTAAAAAGAAGAGATTTTATTTATGAGCAAGCAGTAAGCGGATGGAGAGATGAGGAGAAGAGAGGCGCCGGACATGACATGGGGGTGCAGGTCGCCATGGTGTTGCTGGGGGAGACGGTGCAAGACGTCACTGCGAAGGACGGCAGGACACAAAGAGAGAATACAACGAGAAGAGGGGTGAAAAAGTGCAAGGGAGGGGAGAGATATAAGGGGGCAATGCTCAAAACGAGAGAAAGGCAGTGAATCTGTAAGAGGGCACAGTTATTTATTTGCTTGCTGAGGTGCAGGAGAGTTCAGCAGTGAAAACAGACTTAGAGTATTTAAGTAAATAAATGTAAATAAATAAATAAATAAATAAAAAGAACTAAAACTATAGAGACATATATTGACTGAGAAATGAAATTAAGTCTTACATTTTTTGTACATGAACATGTATATGCAATGTAATATATAAAACATTAATGGAGATGTAATTTTTTTAAAGCAAAATAATGCTCCATTTTACAATAGAATATAGTAAATGTTTATCAAAAGTAGTATGAATGTTTTTGAAAAATGTGTAGAAGACATTTGTTAGGTAAATTTTATTTATTTTTTTTATTAAAAAAGACAAAGGACACTTTCTGGTTATCAAATATTAGTGGACATGTCCAGGTTTATCTGAGGGAAACTGACTATATACCACTAAAAGTCATCTCAAGACCAAGCAAATTAAAGTACTTGCAAAACTGTTTTTAGTTTTTATGTTTATGTTTAGGTTTAGGTTAGATACCACTTGGTTTAATCCGTTGTTTCTACTGCATTTTAAACTGTGACTTAAGTGTCCAAGTACTTTTGAGGGCCACAGTAGATCCTTGAAATCCAAGATCTTGTCCTAATGCTCTCTCTCTCTCTCTCTCTCTCTCTCTCTCTCTCTCTCTCTCTCTCTCTCTCTCTCTCTCTCTCTCTCTCTCTCTCTCTCTCTCTCTCTCTCTCTCTCTCTCTCTCTCGTGATTTATTTGCCTCAGTTCTAATATTTGTCAGCACTGTGTTTTCTTCTCCTTGTCTAAATGTCATCCCTTCTTCGAAGACAATATGGAGAGAGAGAAAAAGAGGGAGCAGGGCAGAGGGAGGAAAGAAAGGGGGAGGGGGGACACTCGTAAAAAGAGCAACAAAAGTTTGGGAAAATTAAACATTAGGTAAGACACGTTCACACAGACCCATTTCGGGACAGGTCTGAGCACTTCTGCTGTTCTATCTATCAGGTTATTTATTGTTACGACACATATTTCTCTGTCAATTTCCGCTGGCTTTCACGCACAACTCTTTTGTGAGAGTCTCAGGATTTAAGGGCAACATTTTCTGATGCACCCTTCACTGATACTAGGTAACAGATGCTCAAGTCACATGCATTGACAAAAGGAATTCCCTCTCTCTCTCTCTCTCTCTCTCTCGCTCTCTCACTTACACACACAGACCTGCAGATGTATGCATTTAGACAGTGATTTGGCACTAGACTTTTGGTCAGTTGCCCTCTTTTTGACGCACAACACAAATACAAACACACAGTTGAGTGTGTTAGCATTTGTATAATCCCACGAGTTGAAGGCACCATCCTGCGGGACTCATTAAGCAGAGGTCACATATTACGTCCTGAGTAAATTGGACAATGAGTGCAAGCTCATCCCTCAATGTTAATGTACTATGGCCGAAACCTTCACCCCTCCCTTCTCTGAGGTCTCCAACCCTCCCACCCTTTATTCATCCTTCCTTTATAACCCCACAACCATCACTTCATCCACACTTATCTGTTTTTTTTGTTACCTTTGGAATTGCTCATTTTGGTGGACAAATTGGATTACTGAAATGGAAACTTTTTTCCCCCACATATACTAATACAGAGATCTGAAGGGAATGGAAGCGCTTTCTTAGGATACAAATAGAGTTTGTATTTTTGTTTCTTTATAGCTTTTTAAGTTCATCAAAGAAAATGGGATATCATAAAAGGATTCTAATCATTTATCTATACAACTAATACATTTATTTTTTTGTCCTGATTATTTTACTCAACCAAAGAGATATTGAGATATATATATTTTTTTGTCATGGATGAAAATGCCATAAGATGAATATCTCTGTCTGTGTGACAATAAGATTACAACTTAGAGGCATTTTATCTTCAAAACATAAGTGGAAATAATTACAATCATCAAGCTTGTGATAAATTTGGATAATTGACAGATCTGGAACTCGATTTAAATGGTTCGTCGACAGCAATATTTTTTTATCCTTTTGGACCTCAAAGTGGTAAAAATGTATCCTTTGTCTTTTGTAGTGATTGACTGAGATTTATTTATTAGACATTCATTTTTTATTATATAAGAAATGTCACATTTGAAACTTCTCTTTAGTAGCCTACATTGCGAAGGCTGTCTAATTGTTTTGTTTGAATTATTTGAATTGCCTACTATAGATTGTATTATTCTCATTAAGCAGTAAAAATATCTAAATATATTCTGATGCCAGTCATAATCTGTAAAATTTGAATTATTATTATACAAGTCATGCATATGCATAAAAGCAGTGATTACGTATGAGCAGGTCATGTTCAAGTAATTGCTAATTATATTTATTATATAATGTAATAATGTAACAATTCAGTAATGTCATTTCCTGTCTATTGATTTTGACAGATATGAGGGGAACAACCCCAACGTAACAGGCACAACTGAAAGAAACACAGTTGAACACTAATTCAGAGACAGACAGGTAGACAGACAGACAGGCAATCTGATGCCAACGGTCTCCTCAGTGACTCTCACGGGACGACTCCTCCTGCTGTTGCTATGGGCACCCCACCTCACCATGGCAACCAACTGGCTGTAAGTTGGCTTGTGTGAAAGCGTTTGTTTGTTATGCCATAACTTGTAAAAGATGGTGACATCTTTTTTTCTCACACACTTTCTTGGTTTCTTTTATGGTCGTTTCCTCTCCCTGTTTTTTTTTAATTTACCTGTCCCAACGTTCATTGACAAAATGTCATCCTTTTATTCATATGCCAACTTTTTCTCTGACACTATTTTTCTGTTTTGTGTTTGATTTATTCTCCATGTTCTTCTACTACGCTGTACCTCTCTCTTTGTAGTTCTCTGGCACGTCTGCCACGCTCGCGTCCTGTGTCTGGTGCCGAACCATGTGGCCGTCTGAGGGGATTGTCACCAGGCCAAGTTGGGGTGTGCCGGGCACGGGGGGAGGTCATGGAGTCCGTGCGAAAGGCAGCAGAGATGGTCATTGAAGAGGTGAGAGAGCCTGAAACACAATGACTCACAATAACAATTTTGTTCTAACAGTCATTTATTCAAGGACATGATGGCAAAAAAAATAAAATCATGTCAAAAATATACATACAGAAGTTCCTTTATCACACTTTTTACTCTAGGGAATATTTCTTATTTTGGAATGTCAGTTTTGGTTTAGTCCTGGCTACCAAAAAGTATTGTAAATGTCATTGTCCCAGAAAATAAATACAGTTCATTAAACTCACATAGACCATTTTGTTCTGTCAATTTCTTGTAACTAGAGGTGTAAAGAGTGCCTGAAAACCATACTTAAGTAAAAGTACAGATACCTTACAGCGAAATTGACTCCGGCATTACAAGTCACCAATTGCAATACTACTTGAGTAAAAGTCTTAGGCCTGGTTTCACAGACAGGGCTTAGATTAAGCCAGGATTAGGCTTTAGTTCAATTAGGACATTTAAGTAGCTTTTATAAACGTGCCTTAGAAAAAAACATTGCTGGTGTTCATCTTGAGACAAAACGGAAACAGAAATAGAATAGAAATTGCTTTCACCTCTGCCTTTTAGTCTGGGATTAGACTGTGAAACACCAGGGGCTTGACTATCTGATTAACAGGAGTGTTTTACTTGTGCTGAATATAGGCTAAAATATGCACTAGTCTTCAACACATGTAAGAAATATGCCAGTGAAAAACAAGAAACAGTTGATTTAAGAGGAGAGCAATCATGTTTTATTTTCTAAAATCAAAATAAAACTGTTACTGAACACCTCGATATTGCAAAAAACCAAGGTCGACACAACAGCCTCTTAAACGTCAACAAACACGGAATATCCTTCAATATCCAATATCCATCAAAATATGTCTTTAATATAACAAATAATTAAAACAATGTTAAGTAAGATTGAATAGTACTTGCACTGTACGTGTTAGGTTTCGGCCTTATCACCAGGTACAGCCATGTCCTCATCTCGTATTTGCTGCCATTCGGGTAAAGGAGTTTTGCTGACAAGTTTGAATGAATAAGGGCAAAACGCACAACAAGGTATAGTTTCTTCAATGCCCTGTAGATGGTGATATCGCTTCTTTTGTAGTAGAAATAAACTGTTGCAGAAAAAGTTAGGTGCCATGCTAAATGCAACGAGTAATTGCATTTCTGACAAGTGTATTCGAGTAAGGAGTAGGCTACTTATAGCCAAACTACAATGTAGCCAAAAAGATTGTTTCAAAAAAAAAAAAAAACATTAAAAAGCTTTATTTACGTTCCATTTAATCTTGTGCTACTATATGTGAAAATGTCAAAAAGTTGATAAAATTTCAGATGCAACTTCCCTGCCTGGAAAGTAGTAAAACCATGTCTTATAGTGTTTCAAAAAGCATTAAAAACTTTTACTTTCTTGGAATTCCAAATCAATGATTGTAGCCCAAGTGAAAATCAACTTTTTGATTTTTCAACTCTTTGAGGCCAATAGGCAGTGGCAACTGACCTTTGTAGTTGTAGTATGGATCACATCTTCCAAACTGGCATAGGATAATGAACCCAAATGCCTGACTTCCACAACAATCTATGACTTATTATTCGTCTCTGCCATCACCCTCACTGCTTCTATCCTCCTTGATCTTCAACTTCTTCCTTTCTTACAACCTTATTTTCTGATGCACTGCCATCACTATCATCAATACTTTCTGGAAATGGTACAGCTTTTCCTCTCTGTCTTCTATAAAATGTACTAACATGGTGGCAAACAGGCAAAAAGACTATTATACTGTCTGCCAGACCAGTACTGAACAATAGTGCCAGCTACAGAGAAAATGTATCCTTTAAAAGGACTTTGTCATTTATGCATGACGCACAGTGCAATTAAATGCAATTTATAAACGAGGATGTCCCATAGAGGGTTAAGTACAGTAACTAATTACATTTACTCCAATAATTTAAACCACTGCTTGTGATTGCAAGTAGCCCCGGTCACATTTTAGGGCCACAAATGTTCCTAGACTACAAATAAGCCTTAATCTTTAACCTTTATGTAACTTTAACAGTTTCATATCTGCATATATTAACTCTGACTTATTTGTTCCATTTTAACCACTGCAGTGCCAACATCAGTTCCGAAACCGGCGTTGGAACTGTTCCACCACTCCTCGTGGGATCAATGTGTTTGGACGAGTCATGAACCAAGGTTACAACAATTATGTCACAACATATCACATATTGGATTATTTTATGCTTCAACTTTCAAATACCTTGATGTCATGGCTCAAGCATTGATTTAATTTAATCAATTGGTTTATTGTAAAAAAAAAAACATTTCTTTTTTAAATTATTATAATTGTTTTATTTTTTATAAATATATATATATATATATATATATATATATATATATATGTGGTGTTAGTGCATGAATAGTGTTGGACAGAGTGTGGCCTCAAAAAAGTACCACTGCGATAACCACTGTGAATTTTTGTATTCAATTATTCATTATTTACCCACATTCTTATTTTATTCATTTCACAAGATGCAATCAATACAATCAGCTTTAAAGGACAACCCCGTTTAGCCTTTCTCAGTTTATGTGCTGTCTTCAGGCACCCGTGAGGCGGCTTTTGTCCACGCTCTTTCATCGGCAGCAGTTGCTGTGGCTGTGACTCGGGGCTGTAGCAGGGGAGAACTGGAGAGGTGCGGCTGTGACCGAAAGGTCAGGGGGGTCAGTCCTGAAGGTGAGTTGTAAAACATGTCATTAACAATTTCACACTGACCAAAAATATATATGCCAAGCATGTGCCTCTTGCTCACCCTTAGGTTTCCAGTGGTCAGGTTGCTCTGATAATCTGTCCTATGGCGTTGCATTCTCTCAGACCTTTGTGGACGAGCCAGAGAGAGCTAAAGGCATGTCATCAGGGCGACCGCTAATGAACATTCACAATAATGAAGCAGGACGGAAGGCAAGCAAGATGTTTCACTTACTGATTGATATAAAAACTTATCACCAACTCCGTATTGTTTTTTATGGTTTTCTCTGTCCTTGTTCAGGCTATCCTCCACAACATGCAGGTGGAGTGTAAGTGTCATGGTGTTTCGGGGTCCTGTGAGCTCAGAACTTGCTGGAAGGTGATGCCTCCGTTCCGCCGGGTCGGTGCTGTGCTGAAAGAACGTTTTGATGGTGCCACAGAGGTATGTGCTACAATGGCTCTGTTCCAGTTGCCTACATAGATAGCTGTCTTCTAAGGCAGAATCCTCACTGAGACGGAAACTCATAAGTGACTGATTTTTTGGAATGCTTTGCTAAGGTAGAAACTGCGTACGTTCCACAAATAGCACTCTACACTGAAGTTTTACAGTTTTAATAGAGTGCAATAGTGATCAGTTACTTTTTTAGCAGCCTTGGTTTCAGGCTCCAATCAACCAGGTGAATCACAACACTACAAACTTTGATTTGAAGCAAATAATTATTTTGAAAATCAGACAATAAGACAAAGGTAAAACTGTGTACTTAACGCTTTAATGAGGGAAATAATTACGATTCCATGAAGCATTGCAATTTGCAAATGACATAATCAAATAAAATGGAGAAATATAAAACTATTGATTTATAGCTGATTACAGATGTAAAAAGTTTGTTTATTGTTTATTGCAAAACATGCATATGTGTACAAATATTTAAGCATAAGGAAACTAACTCGTTTACCTAATTTGCAGTGCTTATTGGTGTGGGTTGCGCTGAAGAATTCTTTTGGCATGCTTTTATGTGTAATTTTCTGATTGGTGGATTCTCTGCAGAATCATAAGTGTCATCAGAATCAATATAAATAATGTGGGGCCGATGGCTTCATCAAAACCATATAACGGCGATTACCGACCTCGTAGCTCATAGTAGGTCTGTTTTAAAGGTTTCTAAGTTATTGTCAAAAATTCACTTCCAAAATCCAACTGTTGCACTCTGTAGAGTTTGGTGTTAGGAATGTTGCTAAGCTAACAATACAAAATTCTAATAAGCATAATACGTTTAGCACGGGTGAAATAGTTCATTTTATTAGTTTGAATAATTTCTCATCAATATTTCTAAGCACTGAATGAAATCCAGCATCTTGGATGATTTTTGGAGTTTGTCGCAATGCATTCTGGGATTACATTATCTGAGAAGGATACATACAATACTGCATAAGAATTTTGCTATTGCAGTACTGTAGAAGGCAGCATAAATATGTGTATGTAATTTGACAAGTTCAAGGGTCACAGCCACACTTTCTGCTTAGGTACGGCTGACACGCGTGGGCTCTCGCACAGCTCTCCTTCCACGGGATCCCCAAGTGAAGCCACCAGCCACACGGGACCTTGTCTACTTGGCTTCTTCACCGGATTTCTGCCGCTTAGACCCAGACAATGGCATTCCTGGCACTGCAGGACGACGTTGTAATGGTAAAAGTGTAAAAATCAAAATTACCGACTAAAATAATCAGTATAATCAATTCCCTGGTTTTACATGTCATTTCATTGCTCTTTACTAATCCTTTCCTATTGCTCCACGTCCTAGGAACCTCACGGTTGGCACCAGATGGATGTGAACTGTTATGTTGCGGCCCAGGTTTCCGAGCAGGCCGGGCTGAGGTAGTCCAGCGCTGCTCCTGTAAGTTCTCCTGGTGCTGCTCAGTTCGCTGCCAGCAGTGCAAGAACACAGTGCTCATACACACCTGCCGAGAATGAGACATACCTAGAAAAAGCGCACAACCACACAAGCACCACCTCATCTCATGCCAGCCTGCATTAATGCCTACATGATGAAGAACAAACCTCCTCCATCATGCCCTGAATTTGGTGAATTTAAAGTTATTTTAAATGTGACATTACATTACAATTATTTTAATAGCACTTTTGTTGAAGGGCAATGTGTTGAACTGGAACACACAGACACCATTACACTTCTTAAATACTCAAATACGCATAAAATACAAAAAACATTAACTAACTTGTTCAGACAACGCTCTTAAAGCCGAGATTAACCCCTGAATAACAGCAGAATAATGTTAGTTTAGTCTGAGGCCTTAGCATTAAATTCTAGTCTAGAGTTGCTCTATCCCTGTTTACTGTATTTATAATTTCTTTTCAGTTTTGCTGATTGTGTTTATTTATTTGAGTTCATCATGCCTGTGTGGCATTATCTCTGGATGGAAAGTTCCACCTGCAAACTCTTCGGCTTCAGCTGTGTTTTGTTTCGGCTTGTCCTATTGTATAGACAAGAGGCTCGTTTATTATAATTGTCTCATTTTTATAATCTATATGGCTTAAAATAAAGTTGTTTGAAATCTTAAAGGTGGAAAGTGGTTTTGTTTGTTAATTATGGAATGATACATTTTAAAGGAAATCATTCTAATTGATAAATCACTGATTTAGTGATCAAAAACCATTTCTTCTCAATGATTGTCTGGTTATATTTTTGTGGAAACTTTTTAACAGCACTAATTTGAAATAGAAATCTTTTGTAACCTTCTAAATGTCTTTACTGCCACTTTGATCAATTTATGCACCTTTGCTGAATAAAAGTATTAATTTCTTTAAAAACCAAAAACTTGACCTCAAACCTTTGAAGTGTACATGTTTTTACGTTTGTCTGCTGACAAACACCCCCAAATACCAAAATAATCTAATAAGCAGGATACAAATACAGCTGTGTCAGTCGCACCACTTTTATTACAAATATAGTGAGATTCCAAACACCGCAGAACTTGACTAAGAAAAGGCCACATTTTAAACCGCCATTATCATCAGTTATCCTCCTTTTTACTCACACGACTGTTAAAATCAGTTATTCAAAATATTACATTTCAATTTGTTATTTTATTAATAAATCACAATCAAATGGTACTCTAGCAAAAAAAAAAAAATCATAAAAAAAACTCGTTTCAAAATGTGTCACTACTAAATTCATTCACCCAAGAGGAAACAGTAATACATTTAATACAACATAGTCCAAGTCAAAACAAAAAGAGAAAAAGGCAAAAAAAAACACAAAATAAAATTCAGTTTTCTAAACGGCCAGCAGAAGGCACTGCATGGCTTGAGAGTAAATGCACTTAAGAGATTCTAGGAGCATGAACCACAGAAGAAGAGAACAGTCTGGCTCATACAGGAAGAAACAAATGCTTGTGAACTAAGAATCCATTGGCTCCCACAAAAAAGTCCCAAACTCTCTTATAAACCATATAACACGTTACTTCGGAGGGGATGTGGCCATAGTGAGAGATTCCTATAGCCATAACACTCTGATCCAACATTAAAACTGTTTTTAATAATTAAAATATCTAAAATTGTTACGGTTTATTTTTGTATATGTTCTATTTCAACGCCATTGTCAGTGATTAGAGCTAATTATACGCCCAAACCAATAACGTTAGCTTGCTTTTGTGCCAGATCCAGTCCAGTACCTATTAACAACAGTAAGTGACCACATATAGGACAGAACCTGCCTAAAGGTGTCGTGTGAGTCCAACATCTAGAACAGGCAAAAACGCAACATTAAAAAACTGAAAACACACCCTAAAGCAACACTAAAAGGCTAATTTGTCAAGAATCGCCTTTGTGCCCTTGGCAATTTTGCAATGTAGCGAAAATGCTCAACTGAAGAGATTCAAGAAAGCTGAAATCAGCTTACTGCACGCAACACTATCCACAGGTTACAGAGCAAATAGTCGAGCCCTGCAGAAGCGCTCATCAGAGCAGTCGGCATGTTCGGCTTTACACTTCATAAAATGTGCTGTTTTTAGACATTGTGTGCTAACCAACCCTTGTGCAGCTTAGAGCAAAGCATGTGTCGGGGACAAACCCGACATTTGTCCAGCAAAAGCATTTCAAATCATTCATTTTTGATGGCGATCAGAAACCTGAAGCATTTAATCTCATGTATTTGTGCCACTGTCGCACATTTTTTTTTGGATCGATTACATGTAACTGACACTTAAAGCATTAAAGTGGATCTATATGTTGTTCTGTAGGCATCACATGCATAACGTGCGCCTGTATTTTTTTATATCTTTGTTTGTAGGGGTGTTATTGGTTACAGGGTTCTCTAATTACTTCCGTTCTTCTAGAAACATTAAGAAAGGCACAGTGTGCATTTATTTGTTTGCAATACCATTTTTTTTTGCCAAATTCCTCAAGTATCACGTTTTCTTTTTTTTGCTGTTTTGTTCCCATGATTTTTCCCAATAATAACTCTCTACTCCAAATCCAAGCCCAACCAAACTTAAAAACCCCACCAGAATGTTTCCTTTTTTCTGCCTCTCTAGTTGGAGTGAGTGCAAAACCCACTGCTTGTGTTCCTACAAAAGGATGCAGCGCTTCTTGGGTTTGGTCTCTGGAGGTTCAAGGGCAGCGAGTATCGCCTCGTCGAAAACATTCTTAAGGCCTCTCTGTAAGAAAGAGATCATAAAATGAAAGATCATTTGCAGTAGGTCACATGGGTGGTAAGTGAGGAAAGCGGTTATGTCATCATAGGCGTGTGCGGCTGCTCTTTTAACCTGTGTGAGGGCGGAGCACTCCACGTATTTGACAGCTCTGAGGTCTCTGGCCAGCTTCTCCCCGCTCTCAGGCGATATGGGGCGCTGCTTGTTTTTGGCAAGTTTTTCCACAGTGTTACTGTCGTCCCTCAGGTCAACCTGAGTGCCCACCAGAAGGAATGGAGTGCGTGGACAGTGGTGAGAGATCTCCGGTACCCACTTAGAGAAAGAGAGAGGGGGAAAAATGAATGGTGAGAGAGTATAGAGAGCTATTTATCATAGCACAATCAGAAACAAACTCAGAATTACAAAGAGTGCAAAGCTGGATAAGCTAACCCAGAGACCATCGACAGAGAATCACGGTGCTGACAAAATATTTTACTGATAACCAAATCTAGTCCAATTGATCACTTTATATTAGGGATGCACCGATACCACTTTTCATTTTTGGTAATTGCCTGTATTTTCACTGCATTTGTAATTTTTTAATATACTGGGTAGAGAAACCAAAAGAATATGAATCACATAAGTTGGCTTAATTTGTTTAGAAAATATTTATTTCCTTTCATTTCTTTTCATGCTTAAGCATGTTAAAATGTATTGTATGAGCTTCTTACTTTCACTGTTCATTATATTGCTCTATCATATTTTATCTTTCATTTAATAGCACAGCGCATTTAGAGCTGCTCCAGCAGGGCTCAATGCTCAATGTGTCACACGAGTGAATTCTCAATTCCAATTTTGATATTACAGCAAAAACTACTAGCCTAATTATTGTCAATTTAAAACATTATAAAGACAAGTAATAAAATAAGAACAAATAATCAAATTACAAATAAATAAATACAATAGAACAAAAAAAAAAAAACACTACAAATGAAATAAACAGCTGTTTTGGGGGGTTTCAGGTAGATCTAACAGTAGTTTTCAGGTACATAATTTGAATAAAGTTATCAAATGTGAAATAATACTGTATGAATTAAATATAGATGAGTCTTTATAAAGTTACAAAATACAGTCAATAGCAGTGATTACTTTGTCTTTTGTAGTTTGATTAACAGAAAAAAACACAACAGCAGGTTTATTAAAAGGTACAATATGTAGGAGTTTTGCAGTAAAATATCCAAAAACCACTAGGCCAATGTTATATATTTTATTTAGTTGATTACTTACAATATCCCAAATGTTTCCAACTATTTGTAAATCGTGACAAAACTGCAATTTTAACCAAGGAAACGGGGCGTGTCAGCAGGGGTGACGAGTCGCCAGTCAATGGCGTCAAATCCGCGTTACCCTCGGTTTCCGCTCGTGCTGCCATAGTAACCATGGCAACAGACGTGGACAACTGGGTTATGCCTAGCAGGACGCTCACGCTGATGTTGTTTTGATCAAACATTATGGACCATGGCAAGCAGACTTTGAGACAAAAAGAGGACTGAAACGAAGATCAACATCTTTCGAGATGCCAAGAGCTCCACGTCCACGACTAACTTCGACTTGGCAGAGACGCCACTCTTGTATGTACTTTATTAGACAGGTGAGCAAATGTACATAAATCTTATCAATGTTATTTAGTTCAACATGATGAAATGTTAGAATATGATCTGTATGTCATTCTAATGTTGATCTAGCTTACTGCTAGTCTCATATAGCCAACAAACAACCTAACTAACAACATTCAACACACTCAAATGCCGTTTAGTGTGATAGTGTAACTGTTAGAGCAAGTGAAACAGCGCTGCGTTACCTCAATTTTAATTAGTCTAATAAACTGACCAGTGCGAGTTTTAATTCAGCACTTGCGTGTAGAATGAAATGTCCTTATTCTTTTATATCCACGGGACTCGCGTGTGGCGCTGGTATACGCCTCTCATTAGCAATCGCGCCCTGCTTCAATACCACAGTCATGTTAAAAACATCAATGTATTTACTCATCCATAAACATTATTAGATCCAACAGCTTGACAACAAGATCCATAATTTCGCTTAATGCTTTGCGTCATTAATATATGCCTTTGTTATTGTAAGAGGTTAGCGACCCCTGGTGGCGAAAGATCCTACATATTGTACCTTTAAGCTGTTGTCCCTTTAAGACCGAATTCACGGATCCAATATTGCCTGCTACTGAACATGAGTTTTCTTTGTTTACGTTCATTAAGATATAACCCAGTATGTTTACCAGGATACTCGCCAAGATGGACATTTTACATAAATTTGTGTGAATGTGTCCATTCAGGCGCAAGACGTGAAAGAGTATTCAATTCGCACGTGGTCTGAGGCAGCTTTCAGGGCGTGGGTTTCGGATGTTTGCGTTCATGAAACTTCTTGACCTGCAAACATTCTGTAATAATGCAGGGAACCACTCGTTATACATAAATCACGTAACAGTTCCTGTTTTACTTACATTGATTTAGTTTTAATCCAAATGATGCATGTGTGCTGAGTGAACGATCAGCAATCAAGAGCATTCAACAGAAGTGCACTCTCTTTTTCTCTCTCTCGTCAGTTAACGTTAATAATACATGCCTCGTTTTACTTTCTTTTCCATTTACATATACGACCGAACTACAAACTTTCCACTGATGTCTCTGAAAAAGGGATGAGCTCTAAAGCTTGCACGTCTGTGCAGCTGCGTACTCAATACACTGCACGTTTTTCGCTTATCAGCTCGCGCATAGGCGAGGCGTTACTATATTTTGTTTAATATTTCACTAATTAGATACATTTACTTATTAGACAGCCTTTTCTTTTACCCCCATTATACTCTCTGTTGTCAGTGTTTCTTTGTCTGGACACAAACACTGCACATACGCTGCGTGGTATCGGTTATAGGTATCAGAGCATTTTTATGAGTACAAGTACACAAGCGCAGTATCGGGCCCAATACTGGTATCAGTACATCCCTACTTTATATGATGAAAAGATGGAATTTAGGCTTTTATTCACATACAAATTCTGGCCATATAAAACATAAATCTCAACCTTACTTGCTTGACGTGTGTCAACAAACCTCATTGGTGCTTGCGGAAGCTCAAGCATGCTGTGCAACAAGCAAGCTTGAGCTTCCAATTACCATAACTGATGTGTGTGTTGATGAATGTTTATGTGAACAAAAACCTTAAATTCAATCAGTTCATCATATAAAGCGATCGTGTCTCTTCAGACTAAATTCATATAGATTAGTTTTATGATCTATTTAAAAACTTTTTAAAGCGTAAAAGTGGGAGTTCTGTGGACTGTCAATGGAGGGACAGAAATATTGTACAAAATATTTTCATTTGTGTTCTGAAGATGAACGAAAGTTTTACGGGTTTGGAATGACATGAGGGTGAGGAAATGACAATTTTCATTTCCGTGTGAATTAACCCTTCAAACCCATTTCCTGACATGATACATATTTGATTAAAAATAAATGTTCCATTTTTTTTTTTACTTCTATAAAAGAAATACATACACACTACCATTCAAAAGTTTGGGGTCAGTACTTTAACTTTCTATTCATCAAATAATAAGCATAAGAGTTCTGTCAAAAACATAAAAAAGACCTTACGGTCAGGTCTTATGTTTTTTAAAGAAACCAGGCAGGAATAATAATAAATGGCCCCTGTGGTCTCCCATACATTGCATTATGAACTTGTAATCTCTGTACTGTCCTTATCTTACAAATGAATCTGTGCTGCCAATTTCCACACAAATTTTACTCTTCTGCTCCATAAGCAAATAAAGAACAACAACAAAAAAACTATATTATACAGCTTGTTAAGCATTAAAATACAGCTTCTTAAATAAATTGTAGGAGCAATGTAAAATGAATGTTTAAAGTGAAAAACTCACTTTTTTTTTTCATTGTGCCGCTACATAAATAGATCTGAAATATTGATTTGAGTTCCTCAAATAGGCTTTAAACAGTCATTCTATAAAATCCCAAAATACTGCAACTGATCAATCAATCACATATAAGATTATATATATTAAAAACAATACATCTTAAAAGAATATTTCACTGAAAAATTAAAATTACCCCATAATTTACAGTTAATACGTTCCTTCTGAAGCGAAGCGATGGGTTTTTGTAAGAAAAATATCCATATTTAAAACTTTATAAAAAAACAATCAATGGCTTCCGGCAATGGCCGTACGCGTGTTCAGCCGCTCACGAGAGTCTAATAATGGTGGAAGGGTGACCTTTGACTATAGGTCGACCGATAGTGGATTTTACCGATAACGATAGCTAGGTTGGACAATGCTGGCCGATAACCGATTGATCAACAGATTTCTGTCGGCTGCATGAACATATCAACGTCTCACGTCACTAGCTTTAAATATGTAGCTTATTTGGCTAAGGAATGCATAAAAGTGACCAGCTGGATTGATATAAACTAATGCAAACAGATGGTAATAATTGTGACAAACATTTGGGTCGGGCTTGCGTGTTTTTGTCACATTGTTTAAACTGCTTGAAGTACTACTAATGTTAGCGTCCTCTCAGCCTCGACAGCAAACATACTGCTGTTCTCCACTAATGCAGCATCTAGTCAACAAACTTATTACTTTATAATGACATGATAAAACATAGGGTAGTGTACTGTATAACATACCGTTTGATTGTCTATTTTAAATTTGCATCTGAAGTCTCCCCCTCGTGTCAAAACAAACTCCACGAGGCGTCAGTGATAGGTTTTATTTTGCCTCTAGAGGCCGCTCTCGTACTGTATAATGACAGCGGACCCTTCTCAGCCACTCCAGCAACTGACGCAACCCAAAACTATCAGTATGGATTTTTGACGATAATTGATTGTTCCAACGCTGATCCAGCGATCAATCTACCTCCGAACGACGAAGCCCCTCTTCTCTTATATCGACATTTTCCCTTTAAAACTTCTCATTTTAGACTTCTAATTTGTGACCAGCGTTTTGTTCAGCTCTGTCCTCTGCACTTCCACGTTCGTTAAATCTCACCGAAGCTTACGGTTTGATTACGTCATATGTCGGGTCAAAGGACAACCTTCCGCCGGAACTCGACTCTCGTGAACGCTAGGGCTGGCCCGAATACCATTTTTCGAGCTTCGAAGCTTCGGTAGTAATGAACATCGAATATTCGAAGCTTCGGAATCTCTATAGCCTATGTCTGTCTGTCCGTTTGCATTTTGATTATTTCGAGAACCGTTCATCCAAACGACTTCGCAAGGGAGTGCAGTGTCGTATTTGGTGCAATATAGATAGACAGGCGAGACGCTACACGTTCAGAATGAATACACTTTTAATAAACTATAGAACAGCGCGAGCGGGAAGCGGCGCGCCTCACGCGAGCAGAGCTTATATGCTCCGAGAACGGACACTGCACTATATAAAACACACACACAGGTCTGTTAACTTAAGCAATATTTTTATTAAGGTAGTCTAATATTTTTCTAGTAGCTTTATTTATTAAGTAGCTTATTTATTAAGTTATATGTTAAGTATTATATTTCACCAGATTATATAGTGTAAAACATATTCAAGCACGAATGAGAACCGTTTCGAGGGGGATGCCAGGTGTGCAAAGAAAAAAAAAAGACGAATATTCGAATGTCACATTTTCAAATCGAATACCAACCCACCGAACGAATATTCGGGTCCAGCCCTAGTGAACGCACGTATGTTTTCTTACAAAAACTCATTGCTTCACTACAGAAGGCATTTATTAACCCATTGGAGTCATTTGGATTATGACTCCAATGACTTTTATGATGGATGAATGCACTCTTTGGAGCTTTAAAAACTATTTCACTATTCAATGCCATAACAAAGGTGGGAAGAGCAAGGATATTATTTAATATAACTTTGATAGTGTTCGACTGAAAGAAGAAAGTCACATACACCTAGAATGGCTTGAGGGGGGAGTATTTTTGAGTGACCTATTCCTTTAAGGACTTCACACTATAAATCTGAAGAGAAAACGACTAACAAATACAACATTTCTACATAAATCAGATGCACCTCGGTAATGAGTGTGCTTTTCACGTACGCACTGATGATCAGTTTAAATAGATCTATTCACATGAGTTCCATTCTCCAAGTCCAGCAGGAAAATCAGGTACTGCTAAGTGTGTGTTTTAATGACACTAAACATGTGACGTCAGTGTCATCAAAGTAAAACCTGACTGTATGAAACATACTATGCTGTTAAAGAATGTATCAACACTGTAATGTATCTGTCTGTACATGATACCATGCCATAAATATGGGGGAATAGTAAACTGAAAATGTAAACACTAAATCATGACATAGTTTAGTATACCACCAGTAATGATGTCAATAAGCCAGAGAACGGTAGCTTTTCCATGTTCTGATCCCCAAACAGTGAGACAAGCAAGAAAGCAGAAAGCACTTAATAAACACCCACCTTCTCTTTCACATTCTCAAAGGAGGAAGGAGAAACAACAGAGAAGCAAACAAGGAATACGTCTGTCTGCGGATAGCTGAGAGGCCGAAGTCTGTCATAGTCTTCCTGACCTGAGAGAACAGAAATAGATGCAGTTCATTACCACCTCTCTTCTGCTCTGAGAGTCATTTGAGACGCAGCTTTTGAACACAACAGCAAAGATTGAGAAATTCAATCCATCTTGAAAAACAGCAAGAGGAAATTATAAATTAATGTATACTACCATTTACAAGTTTGGGGTTGGTAAGTTTTTTCTTATTTGTCTTATACTCACCAAGGCTGCAATTTTTTAATCAAAAATACAGTAATAACAGTAGTATTGTGAAATATTACTACCCATTAAAAAAAGTTTTCTATTTTAATATATATATATATATTTTAAATCCTTATTATCAATGTTGAAAATGGTTGTGCTGCTTAATATTTTCGTGGAAACCATGGTACATTTTTTAGGATTCTTTGATGAATAGAAATCTTATCTCTCATTATAAATGTCTTTACCGCCACTTTTAATCAATTTAATGTGTCCTTAGTGAATAAAAGTTTTAATTTGCAAACTTTTGAATGATAGTCACAGTGTATATTTTATATCTGACCATTTTTCCTTATTGTTTCTCCACTTATTTAATAAATCCTTATCCTATATCAAAACAAAATAGTTATCTTCTTCAGGCTGTGACATACTATGTAACATCATCAAATGTGTATTAATGTCTAAAGCCGTATCCGAATACACATTTTTGCTCCTCATATACTGAACTGTGTGACATTCACTAGATAGTAAATAAGCAAATTAGTCAGCGGGTCTAAGCAGTATGAATTATTGGATAAAATGCCTGTAACTTATGTTTTCTCATTAGTTCTCAAATTTCCAGTTTTCCATCTTCTTTTTCCACAGAGACAGCTATTCTCTCATATCTCTTTGTATCATGTTGACACTTATACTTCAGGATTTAGCATTAAGCTTTGTATTAGCATAAAACCTGTAGTATTTTCGAATTACCATGCTTTCCACCCTCATATCCCCCTGAGACGAGAGATTTATGTATTTTTTGTCTGGAAAAAATCCTCAAATGACGCAAAATCGTCATTTTGCGTCATCGGAGGATTTTTTGGCCAGAGGCTAAAGACTACAGTCAGTAGTAGGGGCTGTCCCGCATGTTTTCAACCCGCCCAAAGAGGGTGGGATCTCACTCACAGAATGTACACATAGTGTCAGCCATCTTTTTTTGGAAGCTAAGCTAGCAGGCTCTTGTTCTGTGGAGAAAGCTGAGTAACTTAGGAGAAAGCTGAGTAGTAGGGGTCACCATCCTCTTTTTCCTGGACATGTCCGGGATTCAGCTTTTTCTTTCTGCAGTCGCCATTCATTGTTTACATGCACACCTTTTGTTTCAATCTAACTGAAATCATTCCGATTGGTGAATCTGAATGTAGTGTTTACATGAACACTAAACAAGTGATCGGTTGATGTGCGTTTTAACATTGCTAAGAAAATTCCCGCTCCTCCGTGAGAGATACGAGACCGGTGCGTCTCACAGGTGTCGCTCATCGGTAATCACGCCGCCGTTCTCCCGCTAGCCTCGTCCTGCTCGCCACAGTAAACATAATGACTGGCGACTGTAGAACGCAAAAGCCGAATCCCGGACATTTTCGGGCAGACTCATCACGGAGACTCACTAGTAGCCTAGACTTGTTGTTTAACTACTGCGCTCGTTTACCGGTAGGCGTGGCCTACTAGGGCAGCGAAGCAAGTGCATTCTGGGAGTTGTTATCTTTCTTCCACATAAGCCAAAAATACATTTTCTGGCTTTTCTCAGTCTAGAAAGCTCCAAATTCAAAAATAATTTCACATTTCTTCTACATAAATGACCCATTTTAAATACACATTCATCTTTCCAGAGGTGAAGTATCCCTTTAAGTCAATATTATGGTAACCAAAGTTGATGCACTAGATACTGACTGAACAAATCAGTCAGCATTACAAAAAAAATTACAGTGTGGGCAATCAACTCAGATTAAGGTCAAGAGTAAACAAGCCCCAGACCGCATTACCTGCTGTGTCGAAAAGCCCCAGTGTATACGGTTCCCCTCCGATCATCACTGTGACAGCATAGTTGTCAAAAACCTGCAAACAAACAAAAATCTCTCATTTATATACATTGTATTTCAGACAACACTACACACCTAATACTAAAAAGGTTTCTACAATAATCTTATCAAATATCCTTTGACAAACAACACATACATGAGATCTCCTAATTTGAAACAGCACAAGGCACACAATAGATAATAATAGCTGCCATTATTACTCATAATCATTCATTCACTGTGCCCCCTTCCCCAAATCTCTGACCCAGAGCCAACCACCCTTTACTCCGTTACCGTGGGAACATATTCAGAGGGGAATTTGTTGGTTGTGTATGAGATGAGGAGGCAGGTCTTTCCGACAGCTCCATCTCCAACCACCACACACTTTATGGTCTGCATCTATATGGTAAAAGAGAAAGGGTGAAAATCATGTTATCACTTACATTGGCCCTCGTGGGATTCAGAAATACCTCATTTAGGAATCATTAGTTTCGTTTAGTTCCACCGTTCACTGTCGCCAATGTCAGGGTGAATGCATTTACCAGAATTGTCAATAAGCCTTAAGTGATGTGATTAGATTTCAGAGACAAAGGCAGGCATACAGAGAGACATCTACAAGAATGTGTCCAATGTTATTTGCTTCCGCATATTAACGCTGCTTAGAGGAAGGCTTTATTACTTTGTCATACTCGCACTAACAATATCGCCTGCTTTTCAGCTTCATTGCAGTTTCTGAATTTTATTTTTTATATGAAACCTTATTTAAACTGTTGACGAACAATATTAATTACATGTTTTGAAGACCAATTAAGGACAATAAAACAAACGAAAACCTGATAGCTTATAAGTAAAACACTAATGCTCCCGTTTATCGTTGATTCAAGGCAGTGTTTTTTTTTTCTAAACACTACACGAGACGCATTTTATTAATAATAAAAGTAGGATTTTACATTAGAATAATTTAATTCTACTTTCTTCCCCCACCAATAAAGTTATACACTTCACCTAATAAATCTACTTAATTTAAAAACGTTACTACAGTAAATGGCGAAGAAATTGGTAGTTTTGGGTGATTATAGAAAACGAAAATAATCCTGAAGAGATTTGTCAGCGGTGAAGTAAATCAAAGTTTTGTGTAAAGAAGGCGACAGGATGCTGCGATGCTAAGCTAACGCGCTAGCACTGCCGAGAGGCCACAAATCATCCTAAATCAAAATTACACAACGGTAAAGGCTGACATAGGACGTGTACTGTTTAACTACAAGTTGATCGGATAAAAGCCATATAAAATAATGCTACAGATTGAGAATTGCTTACCGTTCCTCTCCGGCGACTAGGCGTTGGTTACGTCCGGGTTTGAGAGTATCAATCTGACGCGAATGAAAGCGAAAAACGTCCAGTTGTAGATCCTGCGATAATTCAGCATGCCCACTCTGCGCATACGCCCAACACAGGCTGCAGTTCCTTTCAAGTGGCCGCCAGGGGCGCACGAGGGCTTTTGGGGATTATCTTTATTGTAAATATCATTTATACACTCAAGTGGAATATCTTCAAAATTATTGAAGATATGCCAGATACCCCCCCCCCCCCCCCGCCAAAAGTGAATATTGAAGAATGGAAAACGTGTGTTCCAAATGTTTGAGAATGCTAGTAAAAGCATTATATGTCTATGATTAAACTGCTTTTTTATTTCCATGTTTCCGCTTTATTTCCATTTCAATTAGCCAAAATATTCTATTAATAAATAAAATTTATATTAAAAAGGTCCTTATGAACACACTAGGAGGCTGCTAAACCCATATAGTGATTAGTCAATTTTTTGTAGGCTATTATCCAAAAGGGTGCAAGTCATGGAGGACAAGTTTTTGTGCAGTCAAAACGTTTTAGCCAAACCACTATGACTAAAAATGTGAAGAGAAATAGAATGCAAAAAATAATAATATCTGAAATAAGATCTAAAACAATGAAACAAGCTTGTCAGTAGGATATAGACAATCACGTGATAAAATTTGGAAACGAGTGGAAAGGTGGCTTTCCTCCTGTTGATGAGAGGCTCTCTGTTAGCGTTCTGTATACTGCCATCTAGCGACAGACAAGCAATAAGGTCTATTATTTATATTTAATCTTGAAAAATATTTATTTTTTTCAACGTGAAATGTATTAAGGAATTTCGAAACACGAGAACAAAGGCTAGGCAATTTAAGGAATGTATCAGGCTAAAAGCCCCCTCCTCCTTACTCATATGCATATTATATATTGTACATATATATTGTAATGTAGCCTATATAGTACAATTTTACTATTTCAAATTACCTAATATTTTGCACACATCAATCAATAAATGCACACACAATGACAAAAGAAAAAATATATACAATACAATTACAAATCCTAAAAATATCAATAAAATAAAATGTTATATACAAAATAAAACTAAATTAAAATGTATCGTGTAGTTAATGTATTTAATGCAACTCTCTTGTTGTTTCCTCACATTTTCACATTTACTGCACAACGTCTGAGCTTATGCCCAAGCATCAAATTAATAATGCTCTAAAAACAATAAGATAACCTTCGAATGACCCACGGGAGACCAAAATACATAAGCATCTGAACCAAAATAATAATAATTATTATTATTTTGAGAGCAGAGCTTAAACTTTTATCTTGATTCACCGGAATGTGAACAGGGCTGTTCCCCTCCTCTTCCTCCCCCTCCCATCTCTCTTTTCTGTTGACGTTTGGCTTTTGTGCCTGCTTTACTAAGTGCACGTAATCTTCCTATCAAAGCCATCTCTTCCTCAGTGGAGTTTATTTTTTAGTGTCAGCGCGTGACACAGCATCGGTTCTGATGTAATACACCCCGAAAAAAGCGCGTGAATCTCTTAGAAGAGCAAGATATTCGCCCAAGATCTTCAAGGTTTTGTTTCCTTTGTCATACTGTCTTCCTGTGCTCATCTGCGGCGGTTATTTCCGTCGGTCCGTCTGCTCTGCGTGCTGCTGTTTTTCTCGTCGTCTTGTCATAATTCACCTTGACTTGTACCTCTCCGAATCTTGTGGTTTTAAACAAATCATTTCAGCGCGCTTGTTATTATGCTAGGCTAACGATCTGAAATAGCTTGCAGGCTGTTTTGGATTAGCACCTGTCTGGAATATTCGAGAGTATTCGCCTAGGTATATATGTTTTGCAGAGCTGCTTTATTATATCAGGGTGTTTTCTCTATCTCGCTCGGTAAATTGATAGTTTGCATTGTGGTTAGGTAATAGAACGTGCAGGCCGAATTGTGTAATTCTCCAATTGAGCGTGTTTTGCGTATCTGGCAAAGGGAGCTTGATGATTGGTTGACCAATTAAGAGCCCCTGAGCTGTTGTAGTGTTGGCTTTTGATTAAAGAGTCTGAAGTTATTTATTGGTGCAAGTTCAACCAACCAAGAAAGACCAACAAAAATGTTTCACTACTTGAATGATGTGGATGACAACCCATACATGATGTGAGTATTGGTTCTTTTAAAATGACAAATGTTTGTTTACAAAATAATCAATTTGTGCTTTCAAATAAATTTTTTATGACTATAAATGATGTGCATGATATGTTGTGACAGGGATCCGTTCGCGGCACACAGGCACCAAATGAGGAGTCTCTTTGGGTCATTCGGGATGGATCCGTTTCCTCTCACCCCTCAGATCCAGCATCCACGTACACGCATACAGGTACCCACAGAGTCACAAAAACAGGGCTTGGTTTGAACATTTTAAGTGAAAATGACCATGTTAATATGTTGACTATCAGTTTGATGCTGATTTAGCATCACTGAAGGCAGTTTGTCTCAATTGTACTTTCAGGTGTTATGGGTGATTTTTAGATTTGTTTTAAAAATTAAAGTGTCCACATTTTGTCCTCCACCTTCTATAGCCACAAGCTGGAGCCTTGACCCCCTTCGGCATGATGGGAATGGTATGATACTGTTCCTTGTTCACCCTTTTGCAGCAACAGTTTGTGTAAAACCTGATGATAATTTTCTCGAACAGGATTTAAAAAATGATCCAAAGAGCATCTTGTGCTTTAATGGCAACATCTTGTGACAGACAAGTTCAATGAAGTTCACTAATTTGATGAGTGGCAGAAATGGTGCAGTATCATAAATAATTTTAATGTGCGTACATTTTGTTTTTTTCTCAGGGTGGAGGTTTCATGGACATGTTCAGTATGATGAGTGGGATGATGGAGAACATGGTGAGTTTCATGGTGGCTTGGCAGCCACAATTCTGAAATATTGAAACACTGTGGTTTTCAATAACAAGAACAAGGCTTCCGTTTGTTGATTGCAATGGTGCATTATTGTTTGCAGCTTTTGAACTGGAATAAGTGCAGACTGTGACTTTCAAGTTGCTACCTTGTTAATTTCACATTAAAATAATTGAAATCTACATGAATTCTTTTTATTTTGAGAGAATACGATTCCACAAATGATTGAGGTCAACTGATCTTAGATCACACTTTCATAACTTCTCTTTGTCTTTAGGAACGAATGTCTGGTTCTCCAAACTGCCAGACCTTTTCCTCCTCCACAGTCATCTCATACTCCTCCACAGATCCAGGAGCACCGAAAGTCTATCAGCAGACCAGTGAATTTCGCACTGCTCCTGGGGGTGTAAGAGACACATAGACACACAGCAGAGTGTTACCATGTTTTACATATACACCATATATTATGCTATAGACATTGAGGCAGGCATGTCCATGACTGATTCTTAAACACCAATCTTGAATATCTGTCACGTATCTGGATATATGCCCATTTATAGTGATGTTCTCCATTATTTGTTCATCATATTCATTTGCTAAGTTGCTTCTGTCATGATGGCTAGAACATGTATGCAATTAATCTTATTCAGAAGTTCCATTTAAAAAAAAAAAAAAAAAAAAAACACAACCAAATGATTTTCATATCATTAACATAATTCGCATTTGCATTCTTCCAGAGATCTGGGCACAACGGCAGATTAAAATACTCTGAAAGGGTTCTACGCATTACGCCAGGTTCACACATACTCCGTTTGCGATGCGTATTTGATTTGTATTTGTTTCTGTGCCTATGTTAACAGGATAGAGCATTCACACTGGACACGGATGCGGTCCGGGAATGTGTTCCAGGAGCGGTGCGTCTGCAGCAGTGCAGCGATCGTTTCCTTCACAGAATCTATTTTTGCTGTGCTCCACGCGTTGAATTAAAGTGACGGCACATTGTTCGCATAAAAATAAACATGGATTGGCATGAAAATGTAATAATTTAACCATAAATGCTTATAATTAAACTCTACTCTGTTTCACCGTCAACACATGGCTTTTTGCCAAAAGTGTAAAGCAAGGAAAACTACTCCTTACCTCACACTTGGATAAAAAAGGCGACAAAATCGACGATACCCGTCTCTTCATGTAGGTGGGAAAACGTAAAGTTCTTTATGACCCACAGGATTTCTTGTATAAGGATTTAAATGCAAAAGAAATGGCATGTGAATCGGCTGTTTTTGTCAATTAAAATAAGAAGAGTATGTGTTACCACTTGCTTGAGCAACTTAAAGGGTTAGTTCACCCAAAAATGAAAATTCTGTCATTAATTACTCACCCTCATGTTGTTCCAAACCCGCAAGACTTTCGTTCATCTTCGGAACACAAATTAAGATATTTTTGATAAAATATGAGAGTTTTCTGTCTCTCCATTTGCAGCTACGCAACTAGCACTTTGACGCTTCAAAAAGTTCATAAAGAGATCGTAAAACTAATCCATATGATTTGAGCGGTTTAGTTCAAAATTTCTGAAGAAACTTGATCGCTTTATATGATTAACAAATTTATTTAGGCTTTTGTTCACATATAAACATTGATCAGCGAATATAAACATAAGCTCAACCGAACCTGCTTAATGTGGAGAACAAACCTCATTGGTTCTTGCGGAAGCTCAAACGTGCTGCGTAACACATTCTCGCATGATTGAGCTTCCGTTTACCATAACTGATGTGTGAGTTGATGAATGTTCATGTGAATAAAAGCCTAAATTCAATCATATAAAGCGGTCACGTCTCTTCAGAAAATTGACTAAACTGCTCAATTCTCATGGATTAGTTTTACGATCTTTTTATGAACTTTTTGAAGCTTCAAAGTGGTAGTTGCGTAGCTATTAACAGAGGGACAAAAAGCTCAGATTTCATCAAAAATATCTTCATTTGTGTTCCGAAGATGAACGAAAGTCTTACTGGTTTGGAATGACATGAGGGTAACGAATTAATGACAGGATTTTCATTTTTGGGTGAACTATCCCTTTAATATATAAATCTGTATAGAAGTAATTAATTTATTAATGCCTTTAAATTTGAACGTGAATACATATGAGAGTTTGTATAACTGTACTATGTACAAAGAGAATCACAATGCTGAAAAATCATTTTCAGTAACAACTTTTGGA